AGAGGCTCTGTTGTGCTATTTCCTATGTAGTATTCTACACAGTGAATATAGGAGCCAGCAACCTCTTGTCAAAAAAACCTCCAGCTGAAGAAATGATAGAAATCAAAAGGATGTGTTCTTAACCAGTGGTCTTTGTCTTGGGAATTTCATTTTACCAATTGAAAGTAAAGTTGATTCGATGTGAGCACCATGAGAAGGATGAGCATGCTGGACACCCTATTTTCACTGTGTTTTGGGTTTTTTAAATCTAGTTACTAGAGCCAGCAACATGTTTGGCACAGGATAGAATATTGTGTTATAGAGAACTGATTCAAATCTTGAAAACAATGCTCCATCAGTTGCTGTGCTTAGACAGAGAAGGAACAGCAGGGAACCAAGTCCCAGCACCTTCCCCACTCCTTTTGGTACAGCACAAACCCCTATTATTTCTTAACTGTAATTTTTAAAATTAATTTTCTACTTCTGGATAAACAAATATTAAATGATAATATTCTAGTTAGAAATTATATTATTTTGAATGTAACACTGCTACTATTAATCAAGGTCAAAGAAAACTGTAGTTTTAAAATAGTCTGTGACACATAGCAAACTGATATGGAGGCACTAAATAGCTTTCTGTAATATCTGTATTAAAAGAATAGCTGCCAAGATGGTTATTACTTACAGGCATTACAAACTTCAACAGGTTGATAAGGAATTTAATATTTTCATATGCTTCAGTGTAAAGCCATCTGTCACAGTGACAGAACAAAGTGTTGGGAAGGAGAACAAACGTATGTTCATGGAAGTTCTCCATGAAATGTTAACAGGGAAGACACAAGATGCACAGCAGTACCTTGTAACAAGTGGGCAAGGGATTTGAAACAACATGGCCATCATCTTCAATATTTACAATTACCATTTCTTTTCTAATTTCTTTTTGTGTAGAAGTGCTAAAAAAATAAAAGTCTGTCGATACAGATGGTGAGGGAGACAGATATACCAAGGAAAATAGCATTTGCATCCACCTTTTGTAGTTTTTCATGTTTCTGCTCTCGTTTCCTGCAGTTTTAAGCTTCTGTCTGGGTACATCAGTGTATACATTAGACCTCAGGCAGTGTTTCATACATCTGCTGGGCTTTTTAGTGCAAATTAAACAGCCTCAAACACACACAGGAGTTGAACTTTGCTAGTACCTTCTCCCCATCCCCCATTTGGGAAGGATTTTTATTTGAGGCTGCACAGAACAAATCACATTCCAGTGTTTGAAGCCAGAAGGTGACATAGTGTGACTTTTAACCTGTCATAGCCCAAATGTGGGACACAGTGTGGGCTAGTAAGAGATATAAAGGGATTATAGGGGGAAAAATGGGACTGAGACATAAAAAAGTGTTCAAGAAAAGTTTACTTTGAATCTTTTGTCAGTGGTATTGCAAGAAGAAAGGCCTGGTTCTAAAAAATCTATATGGTTGGATTTTTAGTTATAAGGTATAAAGGATATATTTTACAGAGAACCTGTTATTTCCAGGCCTCCATTCTCTCACCAGGTTTGGGTGACTGAGAGCAAGGATTAAATTCCATTGTGCCTTAGCAGCACTGTGAATTTTCTAGGAATCATATTTTTATGTTTTAGAATGATAGCTCCAAAAGAGATGTGTTCTGGAGGGTTAGGGAGCAGGTTATGGAACAATTCCCTGCCCCATTCGGGTCTGAAATGTTCCATGGACCAATTTCCCAGCTAGAACTGGCAGCATCCCCAGTGAAGTGGGAATGGCAGGGCTCATTTTGCCTTTTGAAGAATTTTTTAAATTTTGCTCTCATCATCCGTTTTCTTCACCCGATTTATAAACATAACGTGGATTCATTTTCATCAGCCTTCAGAAATTCAAGGCAATGAGATGTAGAGGTGGGATTTCACAATCCCCTCGAGGTAACAAACCACAGAAGGATTCTGATGTTGGCATTTGTGCCATTCCATGCTGGCTGGGAACGTGCACATCCTTCCGTGTTAGAAGTTTGGGAAGTTTGGGATTGACTGCACTGGGGCATCTTTCCACTCTGTGAAGTTGTCCCGTCATCGCCTTAAAGGAGCAAAATGTCTGAGTTTTTATTTGAGTTCCGATAAATATGCAAATTCCCAATTTTTGCTCGGCAACACTGACATCGTGTGGCAAAGAGGAAAACCCCAGCCCTGCTTCAGTACCGAGCAGGGCGTAGTTAGGAAAAAAAAAACCAAAAAACTTCTCAATTTTAACAAAACAGACAAAAAGAAGTGTCTCCAAGACATTCAGTGTTACCCTCTTAAATGAAGACAAAGAAGCAGGTGGAGAGAAGTACAGTGCCTTGCTCAGACTTGAGCTTATTTCATATCTATTTTACTTTGGGCTGAGCAGGGTACTGGGAGCAGCTTTACCTTGGATTTTAATGGTGAAGGGATGAGTTTGGTCCTCAAGGCAACAGGTTGCAGCCATCAGGATATAATGTAGTTTGCCTTTGAGCACCCCTTGTATTTCCTCGGGTTTCCAGGTTTGGTAACATATCTTTGACAATGAGTCTTGCAATAAACACCTGCAATGCTTAAAAAAAGATTCTGTCAGGTAGAATTTGTGGGAGGAGAGATATCCTTCTGCTTGTCTATTAATTTTCATTGCATATTCCCATGTCCTTTTTTTTTTTTTCCCTGAGAACTGAATTTTCTAGTCCTCTAGCTAGCTCTTGGTATTTATTTTGAGTCTGCTTTTCATTTCCTTTAAAAATTAAGAAGCCTTAGTGTTATTTTTGTGGGTTTTGTGTAAGAATATTGGAATCTTCTAACCAGTGTGATCTTCTGTCATAATCATAGATGTTCTCTTGGACCCTCTTCTAAAATTTGCATTCTAATTTTCATTCTGACTAAACTCTGCAGCTGAACCAGGTGTGTTGTTACTGCAAATTACAGGGAAAAGTTCCTGTCACATGCCAGTGATTGTAGTGCTCTGCCAAGGGGTCCTGACTTGTTGTAAATAAGGTTTACAGATTATGAAGGTGCTGCTGAGACTTTCTCTTACTCACAAAACAGAGAAAAAATTGCAGTATTTTTTTGTGCTGACAAAGCTTCTTTGTCAAAACTCATCTCTTTCCCATTGTATTTCTCCCAGAATATGAATTGTAATAATACATTTGTAGCTCTTTTAATTTTCCATATATTTATATGCATGGTAAAAATTTGTGAAGCTATTTTTTAGTATTAATAAATTGGCTTTTCTTACTCAGTGGACTATTCCCTATTATTTGACTTGTATTTTGATGAACAATGGAAATTGGTGATATGATTGTATGCTAATGCTGTCCAGCATCAAATGTTGTGAAAATCATTGTCTAATGAATTCTATCATGCCATTAATTAAGATTGATATTAGCAAAATGAGCTTAGGGATTTGTTACATTTACTGATACTGATTCTCTAGAAGTCACAGAACCACAAGGACAATGCTGAATATACTGTTTCCTCTAATAGAAAAAAACTATAGAAACAATAAAATATGAGAAACATGCACAGCCCTAACAGATTATGCCAATAATCTGGGTGGGATTTGCTTCTTTTTGTGGAAGTTCACAGTGTCCTGAGAGCAAGGGTTGAGCCAAGGCAGCTCAGTTGGTAATTAGTGTGGGCTTCCTCCTGTCCACATCTCTGTGCACTCTCTCTTAAACTCTTTCCAAGTCCTGCAGCATCTGCAGCCAGTCCTGTTTGCTGTTGTACTCTCTGCTGTTTGTTCTTTCTGTGCAAACACCGAGCATCTCCTTCTTTGGATTCCCTGGCAGTACTATTTTCCAGCTGTCAAAAGCATATTGCTTTGTTGAGAGATGAAATTTTCCTCCTAGAAAAGCCTGGTTTTTTGGCAGGTAGCTTGTCCTGTGCTGCAGTTTTGGTAATGAACCTTGCCCATAGGCCCCCAGATTGCACAGGGGATCCTGCTGGGGATGGTTTTCCCCCACTAATTATGGTTGTAGCTGCTGGTTTGTGGCACTTAGCACAGCTGATGGGCTCATATTTTTGAGGATGTCTCTCAGGGAGGATCAGGCAGAGGATGGACCAGTTCAAGTGTAGTTCCCAGGATGAGGTATGAGATGGAGCAGCAGCAGTTTGGGCGTGGACAGGAAGAAGAATTGAGGTCCCTGCTAGGAAAAGGGGAGAGGGAAGGCAAGAACAAATCACTGCAGGTGCTCTGGGGGTGGTGAGGGGATTTGTGTGTTCAAAAGTGCATCCTCACACATCTGCACATACACAAACACCTCTGTTCCTCTAAAAACCTGCCTGTTGCTGCAGCTTCCCTTTTGTCTAATCCACATTGAAGGAGTGTTGGGAATCACAACTCTCCAAGGTCTGGGTTGAGGATAAGCACCTTAGGAAGTGAGAGGAACTTGAAAGGATAGGGCTCTATCACAAATTGAGATTCCTTGCCCTTCTGTTCCCCCTTTCTTTGGAGTCTTGCTGATGACACTGAATTTCAAATGGAAGAAGAGAAATAACTTGAAAATTTCCAACCCCCTAAAGGAGTAAATGCCAAGTGCAAAGCCACTGATTAAAAACATATCTCTGAGGAGCCTAACAGGAGCTAATCCTTAGGATATATTTAACTGTCTAATCCCTTTCTCTGGGAAGTGCATCAAGAGGTAAAAAATTCTTCTATTCTCCATAGGTTACCTAGTTCTTCACAGAGCCATTCCTTCACTTAGCCCAACTTAGCGCTTTCTTTTGTCTATCTTTGACAGCTGATGAACAGTTAGGCTTCATTAAGAACACCATTGCAGTGCTTAAAAAGTACTTATTGCCAAGAATAAGCCACAAATTTCAAAGTTTATTTACCATGGGGGCTCTAGTTAAATAGTTTCTCTCTCTGCTTGCACCTCTGTGGCATAGCAAGAGCCCTCCTGGCTGGAAGGGATAATAGAGGTATTATTTTCTCCCCTTAAGCAAAATGATGAGTTCCTGAAGTAATTGGCTGCAGTGCAAATTATAACTGCTCCTTTTGTCGTGACAGGACTATAATCATTTTGTGTCACTGGTCACCCCTCTGACAGCTTTTGGTTCTCAGCGCTACCAAGTGGAAGAAAAAGGAGAAAAAAAAAGAGAAGCATCTTTGTTCTTTAGCTGGTGGTAAGGTATTTGGTGTTTACATGTTGTATTCTCCACTGTGCAGAGAAAATAAGTTGGTGATTATTGGAATTATTTTTACAGTGTAGAATAATTTGAGTGAATACAGGAAAGCTACTTGAAATATTAAAAAAGCATTTCTTGTAGTTTAGGTTTTCTAATATGCAGTTTCTGTGAGATGTTTTAAAGTGTCACTTCAAGTCTGCATTATGTATCTGCATAACTAATGTGAGCAAAGAAGAAAAGAGAAAGGAAAGCTGCTTTAAGTGAGGTAGTTAAGCAGTTAAACATTGATGGAATTGTGCTCTGAGACCTTGGGGTGGGGCAAGGGAGAAGGGCATTGTGATATAATAGATGCAGGTAAAAAACTATTTTGGTGCAGTTGTTGGTGTTTTTCATCAGCATCTCCCACGTGGACCATGATTCCAGTACACACTCTTGTAATCTCCTGCAGTGGCAATGATTCAGCTTAAAAATCAATAGGGCATGAGGTGTTTCAAGTTCTCATTATTGTAATGTGTCAACATCACTTTAGTGACCCCAGAGCCCTATGCTGGCTGATTTGTTCTCTGATTTATTGTGCAATCTTGTAGGCAAACTATAATTTCACTTGTAACCAGAAACTCTGCTTTTATGGTTTGTGTCCCAGTCTCCAGCCATTAGGATGCTCAGAGATAATCAATACTTGTGTTTGCTGCTGAAGGTTGAATGAAGTTGTCAAGCAGCTAAATTACAAAGAATACAAACAAAAGAACATTGTTATGGCTGAGCAGGCCAGGAAATGTTTTTATTTAAATTTTCATTCCCTATCAACTCAAAAGTGTTTTTACTGCTTAGCATTGTCATTATTTATATTCCCCTCTATGCCTGCCAGTTTCAAATCTTGAATGTAGTGGTTGTGGTGATTTACTCTATCAGTTTGTCTTTAGGTTATCTGTGTTCCTTTATGATCCTGTTATCTCCTCTGTATCTGTCCAAATTGAATAACATCATGAGCAGGAAACAAATTATTTTAATTGCTCCAACTCAGCTTATTGTGGCTTTAATACATCAGGGGCAAAGCAGCACTGTTATTTTGCAGTGCTTCTCTTCCAGTAATGCTAATTTTGATGTTTGTTCCATGATCAAAGTGCTGCAAGTGATACCAGCAGAGTCTGTATCAGTTTATCCTGGGCAATATCACACCAGTCAATGTATTTAGAAGGTCTTACATAAAACTGATGTGGCTTTGCACAGTCCAAAGCTCTTTGGATTTGCATCCCTCCCATACCTAACTGCATTGGAGGAAGCAAGATCTACATTTCTGATTTTTCTTGAAAAGCTGGTGACTAGACAGTGTTTTTCCAGTGCACACAATAGATTTAATATTTTCCTCCTTCACAAGCGCTTGTTTCAGTGGAGCTTTCACCTTAACCATTGACAACTCACAGCTCACCTAAAGAGAGAACTTCCAGCAACATGTCAAGGTATGGAGCCTTAGGTGGAATAAATCAGAAGTTGTGTGGTTTTTAAAAACTATATGAAGGGATAAGATCCATATGAATCACCAAATCGAATACAAATAGGAGAATATTAAGAACTGGAAATAAAATGGAAAACAACTTATGTCTCAGCTTCAAGGTCAGAGATGGTTGAATTTTCATAGTTGTTTAATAGGAATTTTATAGTTAGATTATGGAATGTTTATTTTGTTATGGGGGGATTAGAATGTTAAAATTATCAATAATTTTTTGGTTTCTGTCCTCTTTTTTCTCAAGTCCTCCTTTAAATTGTAGTCTCTGAAACTCAGTTTTTTCTTCAGCTGTGTCAGTGTAATCTGGGTGCACACAAATTAAATGGGGAACACTTTTTAACAGCTCCCATGTAGAAGCATTAAAATGTAGATTTCCCTATTGCTCAGTAGCCTACTAATATCCAGTTTTTCCAAAGACAGGTTGGTGTCATTAATGAACAAGTGCATGTACAAATTTCCTGGTGCATTTGTCAGATGCTGAAAAATAGGAGTGTTTGGAACTGTAGGAAATGGTGCACAGATTTCAGGTGCTTCCTCAGAGTGGGTATTAGCAGCCCTGGCTCACTGTGGAAAGAGAGTTTTTAATAGGAAAATGCCCCATAATCATTTACTAAGCTGATCTATTTAAAGACCTTTACATGAAATTGAAATAATTGTCATGGGGTTGGTATGGTTTTAAAAAGTTAACATCTCTGTCCTTATATATCACAAAAAAGATGTGGGTCTTTTCTGCAGGAGAGTTTGACCTATATAACAGAATAATCTGGCATAATGCAGAGCAGGGAGACGAGGGAGAAGATGGGCTGGAGCAAACCTTTCAAGTGTTGCACAGGCCATGAAAATGTGGGGAGCTGCTGGAAGGTAGATAACCTGTGCAAATTAATCTGTCTCCTGTACATGCCATGATGTATATAATTCAATTTATGTTGCCAGTGTCCCACATTCTGGAGGCCAGGACTGGTTTCAAGTTTCTTGTCTAAGCCTCCCTTGAAGTGCTTATTTAAAAACAGTATGCCATAAATACATGGAAAACTTGCAAGAAAGTTCTGTTCATTATTAGTTGGAAAGCTTCCTCATCCTCAGTATAGTTTTTGAAATTTACAGAAAAACTCTTTGTAGTCTGAGCATTTTTTTTCCTTTTGCTAAATACCCATTGCACCATCACCCAGAGATTTCTAATGTGCAAAACATCAGAGATTTGGGTCTTGTAGCTTGCTCTGGATGCTTTGGGGAATTAGAGGCATCTGTTGCCTTATAAGCCCTGTGTAACAAAATTAGATGATTTTTCCCATCACTATTTGCCATTTCACCTGTATGCTGTTATACTTGGTATCCTGTTAACTATTTCTAGTGCAAGAAGTATGACTATTTCATATTCCATCACAAAGCAGACCTCATTTTGGTTTGAGTCATGCATTTAAATAAAAGGGCCAGCAAAATTCTGGCCATTTTCTTTAATCTAATCTATTTCCTTTGATCTGGAAGGGGGATCATCTCACTGGGATGAGATTGAGTTGTAAGTATTTCCACTGGGTTTTGAAGGCAGCTGATCAGAAAACTTCTGCTGGGATCTCCTCACACTCTGCTGTCATTAGGTGTGGAAAATGGAGACTTGTGTTGGGCCCAGGAGTGTTGTCATTATTGCCAGTGAATTCTCCAAGCACAGTGTTAAGGAGCATTGTAGGGGGGAAAAAAAGCACTTTTTACTGCTTGTTTTGGGGTTTTTTTTTAAAGCTTTGCTAGTCACTGTAATTCCAGCTGGATTTATTGTTTTCACTGAGCGTTATTGAATTCCTGCTGGTGCTGTCACTGCAGGAAGCTGGAGCAATACCTGCATCCTGCTCAGTTACCTTTTGGGGGGCTGTGAAGCTCAGGGTTCTCAAAGCTCTTTGCAAAAGTGCCTTCTTAAAAGGATATTGTTTGTGTGTGTACAACGCTGCTGTTCCTGCTGAAGCCTGGACAAACCATAAAACCTCTGTGGCTGCAGAAAATTACCAAGTGCTGCTTTACCAAATCAAAGATCCTGTGCTCAAACCTGAGAAAAGAGAACTCCCACGGTGAGAGACAGCTTGTTACAGTGGCATTCAATTCAAGGTCACACACAGCCTCAGTCACGGCAGGGAAAAAAGCCAAATTAAGCATTTTTAGCAGTGCAAATATGTTGAGAAATATCATTAAAGGTGTGAAGATGCTGGAAAGGGAAACAGTAAAACCCGTGTAGCAGAGCAGTTGTGTAGGCAAAGTTACAAGGATGGGCACGGAGAGATGAAGTCACTTCACATTTTGGGTATCACTAAAATACTTTCCTTACATGATCCTGCTTTTGTGTGTGGCTTTGTGGCATCTCACTTTAGTGATTGCAACTCTTAACCAGTTTTTTTTTTTCTATATGTATAAATTGCTCTGAAATAAATGGGAAGGTCATTCCCTGTCACAGCACTGATATGATGATGGGAGGTGTTTGCTTTTTTCTTGGGACAAGCAATATTTGGACTTTTGGACAAAGTTTACATGTATGAGATTTCTTAAATAAGGCTTGCCAACCTTTATGCTCAAATACCTTATATATGTAGCAATAATTCTGTATTTGTTCTTTAATGGTATACCTAATGCAATTTCAAAATAGAAATGGTGTCTCCTTTGCGCGTTACTGAGGAAATGTTTGCATCTGCAAAAAACAAGTGGATTGAGATAATTTTTCATTCTGATGGGATACCAAAGCTTGAAAGAAATACTGACAGTTTCAACATTAATATAATTTAAATTATATTTTATAATATCCTTATGTGATATTAAGTAGTAAATATCATTGTCTATTTTAAGCACAAAGTGATATTGATCAGAGCATGCTAAAATTGCTACTTTTTTTTGTACACAATATTGGCAAATCAGTAAGTAAACTAATTGGAACTGTTGGTTCATCTTAGGGATCTCTGAGTTAAACCATTCTGTCTTGTAGGGGATGGATGGAGATGCCCAGACCATACCCAGGCCCAGTGTGAGCTCTGCAGAAAGCCTCTTAGAAGGGTCATTCCTGTGCAGAATTGATTCTTGGGTACTGCTTGTTGGGATGGTTTTTTCTGCCCATTCTTGAACTCTAACTCTCCAGTTTAGAGGCATGCTAAATTAAATGAGCAAGGTGATGTTCAGGTGGGTGCTGTTGTTCTCTCTGTGCTATTACCATTCATGCTGAAATTGTGCTTTGTGGACAGTAACTGCTCCCTAAAATGGGATCTGGAAGCATTACAAAGTTCAGCAGTGAGCCATCTGTTTTGGGGTGGGAATTGAAATTTTCCTTTTTGGCAGATTTCCATGAAACTGGGATCCCACTGGCATGCAGATTTTCCTGGAAAGGATTTTCCAGGATGCTGCAGAGAGGGCTGGTGCTCAGGCTGGGCACTCAGTGAGCTGGCAGAGGAGGAGGAGGGCAGTAGCCTGGAGGTGTGTG